TCCATGAAAAAAGGACTTTTAAATATTTTAAAGGTGATATTCGTGATTAGCTGAACAAGACGAATCAGAATATGTATGACAAATTGAAAAATAAAACCCACTCGAATTTTGCATTAGCTGCACCTTACCTTCGTCAAAATCGTGATCTATCTGCTCTTGTTCTGGTTCTATTCCAGTTACACGAACTTGAGATGGAGAGTTTTCTTTATCGTTTACGTGTTCACTTTGAGTATTATATGTTTCCTCTTCCAAAGTAGTTTTTTCCATTTCAAGATCTGCTTCTGTAATATTTTCACATTCTTCAATTGCATCTTCTTCTAAATTCTTAGTATAAAATGAGGTCATAAATTTTGCGGACGATTCATTTTCTTTCATTTAAACAATCGCTTTCTGTTTTGTGCCCCTGATAGTTTTTTCGACATTCTATGGGTGAAAATAATAATATTATATATTATATAATATAATATAATAGAACATACTGCATATAATAAACAAATAATATAATAAAAAAAATGTACATAGCTAAGCAAAGAGAAATATATAAGAACAGATGAAGAATTTCAAAACAGATAATAAGATTAACATCACTTTATACATAGTGGAGTTACTGTTTCACTTGAGAATAGTTTTGTCTTTATTCAAATGACATCATCAGTCAAAAGATAGCAAAAAAATTTTCATCTCCTGTCAAGCACAGAAGAAAAAATAAGCACATGTCTAGAACACAAAAGAAAGATGTAACCTAGTCCAATATTGAGTCATACATGACATGATGACACTTATTAAAGAAAGAAAATCGTTTTTCTTGATCACAGAATGTCCAAAAAAGATTTTTGTTTACGAATAGGTAGAGTGAATCGTCTAATTTATCTGGCTATGTATAATTTCTCAAAGTATTGAATTTGGTTTCGCGAGAAACAATATTTCTCGTCTTAATAATCTGCCTCAAGTTTACATCTAAAAGATGGTGTAAAATTTTTGAATCAACTAAAAGAATATTAAGTACTTCTATTATATATTAATATTACTTGAGCAAATTATTCAACATGACAAATAAAATAATTATCACTATCTAAAATTAATTTCGTTAGCTCATTCAACTGTCCATAAAAAGTACCAACTAACATTAATGAATTTTAATAATGAACGATCATTTTTAAAAGTAATTGATAATTTAATGCGACACTGTCCATGGAATGGTATAGTTAGTTTTGGTACAATATTTCAATTACTTACAATTATTGATACAATTATACAAGAAACGATGGATAAATAAAAAAGACATATTTATGATTTATTACAAATATCAGATTTATATATTGAAATAATTCATTCGGATAACTCATGTTTTAAGATAATTTTTTAAGTCAAATCAGTAAAACAAATAGTGAAAATTAAGTACTTCTATTATATAATAAAATCCAATCTTTGTCACTTTTTGATAGGATCACTATCACTCTATGATAATGTGACATGTTGTCTTGCTGCTTCCGAACCATCTGTCTTAGTTTTACTTTTATGTTCAATAACCATCAGCATACTACTAGCTTTAGCGAAACCAACATCATAACCCGCTGAGGATTGATACCTTCTGTCTGTACCTGTTGAAATGCGCCTGATCAATATTAGAAAACCAAGGCGCCTCCGGCGCCCCTTGCTTTGTAGTGCCCCGAGCGGTCGCCCGCCCCTTCCGCCGGCCATGGTTCACATTCAAACCGCTAATCGAAGATCTACAAACTGCGAAAGACTCAGGTGTAAATTTAATTATTTGGGGATAATACGTATTCTAGACGAACCTCTACTACGATTTTCGATCAACTTTTCTGTTTTTTC